GATTCTTGAGTGTCGAGGAGCGGCATCTGAATGCATTTTGAGGAAATATCAGGCGGGAGCCGCGATTCGGTGGTAAGTTGCGAGGAAGTCCAAAGCGAGAGCGCGATTCTTCAATAAATGGTGAGGAAGTATCAGGCGGAAGCCGCGATTCGGCGGTAAATTGCAAGGAAGTCCAAAGCGAGAGCGCGATGTTTCGATAAAGTGTGAGGAAGTATCCGGCGGGAACCGTTGTTGCTGTCAACCGGGGGCCAACGACACAGTTAGACCTTCAATATTTCCCATATAAAACAACAGGGTGCGAGCCCCGGGAAAGGCACTTCAATCGAAAAAAAAACAATGTGCACCGGACGGGGGGGATCACAACTAATTATTCTTCGGAAATGAGAGTTCAGTAACAACAGCAACGACAACGCAACACGCAGAGTCCCCACCACGGATTCTCATTTTAGCCACGCACCCAGGGACAATGAATGACCGTTCGGCCCCCTCACTGTGAATTCTGTCGATTCCAGATTCTAGTTTACGTTAGGCGACCTCCCTGCTTCAAGCATCGAGTCGCTTCCTTTATCCCTGCTGCAATCTGCTTCAGTACGCGGGAAGTGAGAGGGGGTTGGCCATCTCAGAAGGCTCGCAAGGCCTCCGGCCTTCGGAACAGCCTTCTGTAAGCCTCCTCCGAAGGCAGAGGGAACTTCTCGGAAGGCCGGATGGCTTCCGAGAAGCCCCGCCGCCTTTGAGAAGGCCTGCCCCCTCTCTCGGGTTGACCCAAAGGGGGGTCCAGCGAAAAGGGGGTGGTGGTGCAACAGATGTGGTGCAATAGATCTGCGGGGTTGCAATAGATTTGGGGCGTGCAATACATTCTGGGGCGCAAGTGTATTGCTGGATTTCCGCGTGCAATACACTACTTGCAATACAATGCAATACAAGTCTCCTGTGCAAGACATTTGCAATACAATTGCCCCAAATCTATTGGACAATCCATTTTCAGCTGGACCCCCTTTTGGGCTACCCAAACCCTCTCACTCCCCCCTGGGTGCGCCGCCAAAATTCGGGTTCGGAAGGGGCTCGATGTTCCGTAGGTCCTTCCACGGTTGTCCCCACAGCGCTCTTCGTTCACCAGGTGTTTGTGCTAAGGGGCTCCGTTTCCTCGGCTGCAGCTCTTGGGAGGTAAATGCAGATTCGGTGCTGGGAGATCCGCGGTCGAACACCATCCTACCCTGGCCTGGTCCCAGTCTGTCCGGCCCAATCACGCCTGATCTGGCAGTGTCCTGGGCTCAATTTGGCTTCGTTCGGCCTAAACGGCCCCTGAGAATCGAGTTGGTGACGCGGGCGGCACATCCAAAAAGACATCGCCCTTCGAGCCAGTGCCCCACCGAAGTTTCTCATCCCCCGGTGGCCCCAGGGGCACCATGGGAGCTCTGGGGCACCCGAGGGGACCCTCCGAGATCGACGAGGGACGCGTCCCCAGAGGTCTCTTCGCAGGCCTGCTTCCTGCATGTGGCTGCTGCAGCCCCCCATCGTTCTCGCGGATGGCTTCCCGGGAGTGGTCCCCCCAGGGCTTCTGCCTCGTCTCGGGGGCGGAAAAGAGGGGGGTGATGACTAGGGCGGGGTGGATATCACGGCGTCGGCCATGACATTTCCCCAGATTTCATGGCGCCCCTTCTCACCTCGTTGCGTCCCTGGCCCCCCCGCTGGGCCGCGCACATGCCGCTGGTCATGATTTGCACCCCCCCCTCTTTGACGCCTCCCTCCTTGGCCGCTCCCGACAGGGCTTCTGCCTCGCCGTCGGCTCGGTCGGTGGCCGGTCCTGGCCGAGCGGCGTGGGCGTCGTAGGCGCCCGCGGGCCCCATCGTGGCCACGCGGGCGGCGTGGCCTCGGCGTCTTGTGGCGTCTTGTGGCGAGCGGCTGCGGCAGCCCTCGCCGCCGTGTGGCGGCGGAGGCGGGCGCCTTCGTGTCGCCGTCGAGGGCGAGGGTTCGAAGAGCGAGGTTCTGATACGGGGCGTGAAAACGACCGCAGCCACCGCTTTTTTCTTTCGTTGCCGCCTTCCCGCCCGCAGAAACAAGGCAGTGGTCGTGGTCGGTTTTCGTGGAGCTTGGCACCAGGGAGATGACCACAACCACTGCTTCTTGTTCGGCCGGCTGGAAGGCGGCGCAAACACGAAGCAGTGGTTGTGGTCATTTTCCCGTCCCGCATCTGATGTGCGCGTCCGAGCTCTTCTGTCTGGGCATCCTGGATGGGGTGGGAGTAGATGGGGTCGGAGGATCGCGCCGCGTCGCCGATGGATCGGCGATGCGGCTCGATGTGGGGCCCAATCATCCCCACACCGACGTCGCCGATGTATCGCCGACGTCGCCAGTTCATGGCCGATGCATCGCCGATGCATTTGCGATGCATCGCCGATGTATCGGCGATGCATCCTCCGATCCCATCTGCTCGGACCCCATCGAGGAGGCCTCTACTCTGGGAGTGGGGGCCAGGGGGCGGGGGCTCGGCTGGAGGTCGCCCCGAGGTCTCTGGATGCAGAGCGCACCCCAAGAGAATGTCCGGGAGTGGATTTTGAGTCAGCGCCGAGGGTCGAGGCGTTTTGTATCCTTTGGGGCCCAGGCCTCCTGTGACGTCCTCCTCCTCCTCCTCCTCCTCCTCCTCCTGCGATGAGAAGCGGGCCCACACCACGACACGAAGTTACGGTAGACGTGTCTTGGAATGACGTTGTTTCTGATGCTTCTTTGTTGTCGCCCTCGCAAGCACGCACCCCAGCCCCAGCGTTGAACGCCGGTCTGTATCTGAAATATCTTCTTGTCTGTAGCTCAGCCCCTCCACTTCTTCCGTCTCCTCCTGCCGGGAGTCGCAGGCCCCGCAGTGCGTCGAGAACGGCCGGGCCAGGTGAGACGCCGGTCTCGGTGGGGGAGATGTTGGAAATCGGATGTTTGGGCAGGACGTCGTCCGTGACCAGACGATCCGCGTCAGCCCTGTGTGCGTCGTGTGTTGTGTGTTGTATGATGTGTGGTGTGTGATGTGTGGTGTGTGCTGTCTGTTGTGTGTTGGGTGTTGGGTATTGTATGTTGTGTGTTGTGTGCTTGGTGTTGTATGTTGTGTGCTGTGTGTTGGGTGTTGTATGTTGTGTGCTGTGTGTTGTGTGTATTGTGTATTGTGTATGTTGTGTGTTGTGTGTGTGTGTTGCGTGAGTGTTGTGGGTGTTGTGTGTGGTGTGTGCGTTGTGCGTTGTGTGTTGTGTGGTGTGTGGTGTGTGGTGTGTGTGTGTGTGGTGTGTGTGGTGTGTGTGGTGTGTGTGGTGTGTGCGGTGTGTGCTGTGTGCCTGTGCCTGTGTGCCTGTGCCTGTGTGCGTGTGCTTGAGGGCCTGGCCGTGCGCGCGCCCGCTCCCGCCGCTCTTTGAATCACTCTGCCCCGAAAGGGCGTGCGTGTGTGCGTATGGTGCGTGCGTGTGCGAATGCGTGTCCGCTCTCCCCCTCTCCCCCAGCCCCTCGCGGTCCACCGCGAGTGACCCAGCAGATCCCCTACGGTCGGATCCCTGGACCCTCCATCGCGTGATCTGGCCCGGCCGCGCGCGCTCTCCCGCTCGACTGCCTACGCCGCGCCGCCGCGCACGTGGCCGCAACGCCAAAAGTGTGTGTGTGTTGGTGTTGTGCTTGTGTGTTATGTGTGTTGTGTTGTGTTGTGTTGTGATGTGTTGTGATGTGTTGTGCGTGTTGTGTGTGTGTTGAGTTGTGGTGTGGTGGGTGCGGTGTGTTGTACTGTGTTGTGTTGCGGTGTGTTGGATTGTATTGTGCTGTGTCGTGTTGTGTTATCTGTGTTGGGGGGTTGTGCGGTGTGTGGTTTGTGGTTTGTGGTTTGTGCGTGTGCGTGTGCGTGTGTGCGTGTGCGTGTGCGTGCGCGTGTGCGTGTGCGTGTGCGTATGCGTGTGCGTGTATGTGTGTGTGCGTGTGCGTGTGTTGTGCGCGTGCGTGTGCGTGTGCGCGTGCGTGTGCGTGCGCGTGTGCGGGTGCGGTTGCGTGTGCGTGTGCGTGTGCGTGTGTGTGTGTATGTGTGTGTGCGTGTGTGTGTGTGTGTTTGTGTGTGGGTGTGCGTGTGCGTGTACGTGTGCGTGTGCGTGTGCGTGCGCATGCGCGTGCGCGTGCGCGAGCGCGTGCGCGTGCGCGTGCGTGTGCGCGAGCGCGTGCGCGTGCGCGTGCGCGTGCGCGTGTGTGTGCGCGTGCGCGCGTGCGTGTGGGTGCGTGCGTGCGTGCGTGCGTGCGTGCGTGCGGGTGCGTGCGGGCGTGCGTGTGTGCGTGCGCGCGTGCGTGCGTGTTTGTGTTTGTATGTGTGTGTTGTGTGTCAGTGTGTGTGTGTGTGTGTGTGTTGTGTTGGTTGTGTGTGTGCATGCGTGCGTGCGTGCGTGCGTGCGTGTGTGTTGTCCGAGTGTGTGAGAGAGAGGGAGAACAAAAAAGAGATAGAAGCAAAAAGTGTGTCTGTGTGCGTGCGTGCGTGCGAGTGTGTCTTTACCCCGCTCACTTGCAGGGCCAGCACGCAGCCTGCGTAGGACCTCGCTGTGTTGCCATGCGTCGCGCTGAAGAGCTTCGGTGGACACACGTGGGCGCCGGCACGCTTCCTGAGTGTCATCGATTGACGTCGCATCGTGCGTTTGGGCTTGCGCGCGTAGTCCCCATCTCCCCAGCCAGGGTCCATATACCCGATCGAGTCAATGTGACATCGATTTCGGCCAGCCCGACCCGATTGTCGAGCGACCCGGTGGGTGCGGCCCGACGCTTGCATGGCGCTGGTGTTCATCCTGCCCCGGCCGATCCGCTCCGATTTCGACTCCGTGCCGATGCGGCCCGATTCGACGCAGATTCCGCTTCGCTCCAATTTTTCCCGCTTCGACGTCGGTTGCTCGTGGGGATCGTTCAAACTTGTAGAGGAGGAGGCGAAGGAGAAGGAGGAGTAGAGGAGGAGGAGGAGGAGGAGGAGGAGGCGGATGAGGAGGAGGAGCAGTTGCCCCGGCGAGGTGGTGCTGGTCCACATCGGCGGCATCATCGCGCCCTTCGCCTCGGAGCTCCGAGACATTGCGCACGAGCACGGGGCCGCGCTCGTGGAGGACGCCCCCTCCCCGAGTTTCTGTTGCGGCAGGGGTGCGCTGTGTGTCGACGCGGCGGCGACCTTGGCGCGGGCGTGCAAGACCTAACGCCGCGAGTGCCCGGGGGCCCCCAAACGGTGTGGTGGTGACCATGCTGTGTGGTGAGTCAGGGGGCATCTGGGGCGACCGGTTACGTCGGGCATGTCTCTCCACAGGAGGAATGTTCAAAAACAGTGGAAAAAATAGTCAGGGGACGATGGTTTCATAATCTATTGACTATTTTGAGTTTTTGCTGGCTACTTGTAATTGTTCGTGCAAAATTCGCCTGTAGGATGACATGCCCGACCTAGGGCGACCGCGCAGTTTTGGGGCTTCTCCGAGGACGTTTCGAGCGGTTGGGGCCTCCGAGGTCCCAAAACCGTGCGGTGACGGACCGTGCGGTGAGGCTTTTGATGACTCCGAGGTCACCGCACGGTCTGACACCGCACAGCCTCGGGAAACACAAGCCAGTTGCGCAGAACCGGCCGACATCGAACGATCTGGGCTGCCGGGAAGCCGCAGTCGCTCTCAAGGTTGAGCAATCCGCGCGGTGTCAGAAACTAGCGCCCAGGTCAGCCCGTCACGGTTTGAACGATCCGCGCGGTGTCGGACACAAACGCCCGGGTCGTCGCGGCACGAATCTGCCGCTCGGTTGCGCAAGGCGTGGCCTGTTATGGTTCGTGTTCTTTTCCAGGGTTTCGCACGGCTGCGCTCCCTTCCGTGGTGTCGCTTCTCCCCGCCTGTCTCTCGCACCCCGGGGCCCCGGGGAGTGCCGCGGCGGAGTGGAGACTCTGCGCTCGCGCCGTCGCTCTCCCGGAGTGCCTGGCACGCTCGGCAGCGCCTCGCCTCTGCCGTCGGATCGTGGACGTGCGACGGTGCTCGGCAGCATTCCCCTGGGGCTGCAGGACAGGGCCTCCGCGGGAAGGGGGAGGAGGAGGAGGAGGAGGAGGAGGAGGAGGAGGAGGAGGAGGAGGAGGAGGAGGAGGAAAAGGAGGAGGAGGAGAGGAGGAGGAGGAGGAGGAGGAGGAGGAGGAGGAGGAGGAAGAGGAGGAGGAGGAGGAGTAGGAGAGGATAAGAGGAGCGGAGGCGGAGGCGGAGGGGGGAGGAGGAGAGAGGAGGAGGAGGGAGGAGGAGGAGGAAAGAGGAGGGGAGCGGTGCCAGAGGTGTCGTTGGACGGTGCTCCCAGGAGTTCGGGGAGCCCCCGTCGCCTCTTTGAGCTCTCCTCCTCCTCCTCCTCCTCCTCCTCCTCCCCTCCCCTCCTCTCTCTCCACCCCCTCCTCCTCCTCCTTCCTCACCTCCTCCTCCTCCTCCTCCTCCTCCTCCTCCTTCTCCGTCCTCCTTCGTCCTCCTCCTCCTCCTCCTCCTCCTCCTCCTCCTCCTCCTCCTCCTCCTCCTCCTCCTCCGCCCCCTCCCCCTTGGGCTGGTGCCACCCCTGGCAGCCTCTGAAGCAGGGGGGGGGGAGGAGCGCAGGCTCCTTGGGTCGGCGGTGGAACTCCGCGGCGGCGTCTCCTGCGCCGCCCCGTGCGCTCTGCGCGAGGGCGGGAGGGGGGGTCCAGCGCCGATCCGACACAGAAGGGGTGACCTCGGACAACTTTATATACGCGTGCAGGCCGTTCTTCTGAGTTGCCGTCGGTGGGATCGTCGGGGCTTGCTTCCGGAGGTGCAGCGCACGGGCCGGTTCGGCCATGCGCAGGCCCTCAGCCGCTGGTGCTCGAGCGCAGGCCCGCCTGTCTCTCTCGGAAGAGGGCGGCGCGCCCCCCCCGTGGCCGTCGGCGGAGCGCCCAGGGAGGAAGGCAGAGGGGGCGGGCCTTCGCAGCGGGCTCACAAGGCAACCGGCCTTGAAGTCGGGCCTGTCCCTCTCCAGGAGGAATAGATCCCAAAATAGGTACAAAAATCAGTCGGGGGACGATGTTTCGACTGCTTTTAAACCGTGTTTGAGCATTTGGGAGGCATTTTTGGGGTGTGTTTGATTTTCCAACCAGAGTCCACCTGTAGATGCCCGACCCAAAACTAGCCTTCTGTCAATGGGCGGGACAAGTCACCCGGACTGGACGATTAGCGTTTGCGAAGCGGCCCTGGGCGTCCGTTGAGCAGCCCTGCCCTGTTTGATTCCTGCTTTGCGCGCGTTTGCTGAACGACTTTGCGTGTGGGGGCGGGCCCTTCTCAGCAGGCGCACGAGGCAACCAGCCTTCTTCTGCTGAGCCCTCAGGCTCATGATGCTCCAACCTGCTGTAGCCTTGATCGCCAGGGGGAATTTCGAGCACCAGGAGAGTACCGGAACTCGGAACTCGAGGGTTTTCACGTGCTGGGCCTTGGGAGACACTCGGTCGAGACTGTCTCGACACTGTTTCGACACTGTTTTGACACTTCCCAAGGTGCTCGAAATTATTCTTGGAATGCAGTCCTTAAGTATGATGGGGGCAACTTAACCTCAGGCCCTCTCTCTGGAGCCACAGGGGAGGGCTCCTCAGAAGACTGTGGAGGGCCTCCGAGCAGCCCCGCCGCCGTCTGAGAGGGCCTGCGGCCTTTGCCCCCCCCCCCCCCCCCCTCCCCGCCTCCCCCCCCCTCGCCTCCACCCCCCTACCTGGAGGCCTCCTAGATGGGGTCGGAGCAGATGGGGTCGGAGGATCGGGCCGCAACGCCGATACATCGGCGATGCATCGGTGATGCACCGGCGCTGCGTCGTCCACGCGGGCGATGCATCGGGGACGCCCGCGTGAAGCAGATCGGGCTCCACCTCGAGCCGCAGCGGCGATGCCTCGGCGATGCAGTGCCATCCTCCGACCCCGTCTACTCGGACCCCATACCTAGGAGGCCTAGACTCAGCCACGCGCAGAGGGGGTGGTGGGGAGAGGAGGGAGGGCTTCTTAGAAGCACCCCTGCTTCTTAGAAGGCGCGGGCCTCATCTGTAGATGTAAGGCCGGCGCCTTCTGAGAAGCAGCCTGCTCCGAAGAAGCCCCCCCCCACCCCTTGTGCGCGCCGCCAACAGATACAGTGCCGTTTTTAATACATGCTCCGCGTGCGGATCATGCATCTAAAAGTGCAGGGATTCAGTATTGAAAACGACGATGAGCTCATGCACAAATTCATCCATAGGTTAGTCATGTATTACAAATCCGATTTTAAAAACATCCCATGTCTTAAAAACTGCCCTGTATCTAGGAGGCCTAGACTCCCGCGTGCCACTGCGGCAGGCGCCATGGCCGGGCCGCCGGTGAAGAGGGCCCGCTCCGGGGCCGCGGGGCCGGCGGCGCCGCCCGACCGCGCGGCGCGGCCGCCGCCGCGCCCCGCGGGGCCTCCCGCGCGGCTCCGGCTGCGGCGGCGCCCGGCGGGGCGCGCCGCGGAGGCGCCGCGCGAGGGGCGCGTGCGGCTGCAGGACCTCCCGCCGATCCTCCTCCTCCTCCTCCTCCTCCTCCTCCTCCTCCTCCTCCTCCTCCTCATCCACCCTCCACCCTCCTCCACCTCCTCCTCCTCCTCCTCCTCCTTCTCCTCCTCCTCCTCCTCCTCCTCCAGGGGGCCGCAGCTCGGTGAGGAGGGGCCGCACAGGCACCAGCTTCCCAGACGTGATCGCGTCGTATAGAAGAATCAGGACGGGTTTTTCTTTCTTGCCAATTTCGGCCTCGGGCGGCCCTCGCCGGGCCTCGGGGCCGTCAAAAAACGATTCGGGGTGAAAAACCGGTCCCGGGGAGGGGGGCGGGATTTCCAGCGACAAACATCAGGACGTCGCATGTCTGGCTTTCTGAGGTGAGCCTCGTGGCATCGATCCCTATCCCCTATCCTCACTGGCATGGTCTTGGCCTCGCTGGCCGACTGTGTCCGCCTTGTGCGCGGGGCTTCGCGGGCTGGTGGGGCTGAAATACCGTAGCCCAGTGGGGATGCGGATCGGTTAGACAGTGCAGAGGAGGTCCGCGTGGATTTCTTGGATCGGCGCTGGACCCTCCTGACGGCGCCTGCAGCGCCGCCCCCGCGCCAGTGAGTGGGGGGTCAAGCGCCGATCCAAGAGATCTGCGCGGACCTCTGAAAGCCTAACTATTTTATATATCGAAAACGCCTACGGCGAATCACCGCCGCCCCTTCTGCGTTTTTGGAAGCGCATATGTGGGCGAAGGTTGGGCTAGTGCTATCAGACCTTGTGTTCCCCCAGCTGTCGTTCAAACCTTTTCAGGGAACGGGTGAAGAAGAGGAGAATGAGGAGAATGAGGAAAAGAGAGTAGGAGGAGGAGAAAGAGGAAGGCGGAGGAGAAGAAGGAGGACGCCTCTTGGAAGCCTCTTGGGGCAATCTTGAGGTCTCCTGGGAGCTTCCTGGGTGCGTCTTGGAGGCCTCTAGGGGGCCTCCTTGGGCCTCCTGGGAGCCTTTGGGGGCTTGTTCGGGGCCGCTTTGGTCGTCTTCGGGCGTTCCTTGCCCGTCTGACGCCGTCGGAAGCTGCCTTTGATGCCTCTCTTTACCGACTTGGGGCCATCTTGTGGTGCTTCAGGGCCGTCTTGGGCGTCTTTGGGCCCTCTTGGGGCCGTCTTGGGGGCCTCTCGGCCGTCTTGGAGGGCATATTGGGGGCCTCTTGGGCGATCTTGGAACGATCTTGGGGGGCTCCTGGGCCGTCTCGGGCCGTCGGAACCGAAAAGAAGCAAATGCCAAGATATTTCAACAACATATGGGAGATCAATGATTTTAGCCTCTTCGAGCTCTCCTGGAGGACCTCTTGGATGCTTTTTGTGCATTCTTAGAGGCCCTTCGGGGGCCTCTTGGGCCGTCTGAGGCCTTTTTGGATGTTTATTGGGCGGACTTGGAGGCATCTTGGACCCTCTTGGGCCGTCTTGGAGGCCATCTTGGATCATCTTCGGCGAACTCGGAGGCCCTCTTGGCACTGTCTTGGAGGCTTCTTGGGCCGTGATGGATCATCTTGGAGGCCTTTGGAGACATCTTGAGGCGATCTTGGGGGCCTCCTGGTCCGTCTTGGGCAGTCGGAAGGCCGAACAGAAGCAAATGCCAAACTCCTTCAAACATCTAAAGGAACAGACATGATGTTGGCCTCTTAGGGCCCTCCTGGAGGACCTCTTCGAAGGCACATGGGGCGTCTTGGAAACCTCTTGGAGCCATCTTGGGCCGTCTGGGTGGCTTATTGGGCGGACGTGGAGGCATCTGGGACCCTCGTGGGCCGTCTTGGAGGCCATCTTGGATCATCTTTGGCAAAGCTTGGGGGCCGTCTTGAGCCATCTCAGCCGTCTTGGAGGCCATCGAGGCCGTCTTGGTGACGTTGGTTGCGCAGCGGCGAGGCCTTCTGGGTGACAGGCGGCATGGACCGAAGCTACAAGGGGAGTTCTTGTGGAAAAGAGCCGTAATTAGGATTTTGCACGCGAGGCACCCCTGTGATAAATCAACAGGGGGCGTCGGATCCAGTGGCCTTCGGTCCATCCTGCCTCCGGGCCTGGGTTGTGGGTGGGAAGCTTATTGGATGTTCGTTGGGATCTCGTGGGAGGCCTCTCTCGGGGGCCTATTGGAGGCAGTTTGTGGGCCTCGTGCGGGCCGTTTTGAGGCCTCTTGGGGCCTCTTTGATGCCTCTTGGAGGCCTCTTGGGGCCTCTTGGGGGCATCTTGGGGGCCTCTTGAGGGCCTCCTGGGGCCTCCTGGGCGCCTCTTGGGGCCTCCTGGGGGCCCCTTGAGGCGGAAGGCTCGGATTTTTCGATTCATGTTCCCTCCCTTGGGTCTCTTCGGGGGCCCTCTTGATCCGTCTTGGGCGCCTCTTGGGGCGTCTTGGGGCGTTTTGGGGCACTCTTAGGCCGTCTTGGGGCCCTCTTGGAAGCCTCTCGGGCCGCTTTGGGGTGGTCTTAGGGGCCTCTTGGGCTGTTTTGGGGCGTCGGAAAGCCGAAAAGGCGAGAACGCCCAAATTCGTCAAATGCCTACGAACAATCAATGATGTTCGCCTCTTGGGGCCCTCTTGGGAGGCCTCTTGGTGCGTCTTGGAGGCCCCATTGGGCCATCTTGAGGCCATCTTGGGCGTCTTGGAACGACCTTCCGGTGACTCGGGGCCCACTTGGACCGTCTCAGAGGCCTCGTGGGGCCCTCTTGGCCCGTCTTCAGGCCCTCGTAGGCCTGAACAAGTAACGCGGGAAGGCGCGACAGGTCCCAAGGACCACGCTGGGAGTCCCGCGAAATCACGGGATGTCGGGTCCGGGCCCCTCAAAGATTCCTCAGGACTGAGGGCTGAGGCTCCAGGGAGCAGGCAAAGGACCTGAGGACACGCCCACTCCGAGCCCAGAGGCACGGTGGCGGTCTGTTTTTGCCTGTCTGAGAGTCAGGACCTCCCGCAGGGGGTGCTGCAGCACGTGGCGGACCTCGGCTCCACCTTCATGGGCCGCGTGCAGCTCCAGAGAGCGTGCTCGGCCACCAGGCTGGTGGAGTGGCGGTGGGCCCCGCCCCTGTCCCTGTCGGAGGACTTCAGCGGCCTTGGCTTGGGGGACGTGGGCGCCTGCGCGGTGGCCGAGGCGCTGATGCGCGAGGGGAGCGATGCCGTGGTCCGGCTCCACGTCGGCAACAATGCCATCGGCGACCGTGGGGCGGCCGCACTGGCCAGTGCGCTTGCCAGGAGCCCCGCGTCTGTGCGGCGCGTGTACCTGGAGGAGAACGAGATCGGTCTGTCCGGGGCCAGGGCCATTTTGGGAGCGGCCGCATTTCATGGAATGCTCCAGGAGGTCGACCTGCGCGGCAACCGTTTGAGGGCCGCTGACAAGGAGGAGCTTAGGCGCTCGTACAAGTGGAGGCGGGTTCTGCTCGACTGGGATTTACCCTCGCCCACGTACATGTCCGACACTCAGCCAAACATCGACGCCAGCATGCGCTGCGTCCTCTTCGACTGGCTGATAGACGTCTTTACCAATGCTTTCCACACTCCAGCGCAGGACATGAGGGGAGGACCAGATATGGACACCGCTCCCCCTGACGCGTTCCACCTTGTTGGGTCTCCTGGCAGGCCCTCGTCGCCACGGACGGATTCGCCTCAAATCTAGGCCAGAACGCGCAGAGGGCCACGGAGCAGCCGTATCGGCACCTTCCGATTCCCCCAGGACGGATCTTTCGACGCGTCGGAGATGTTCCAGACGTTCAGCCTCGTGGACAGGTACCTGAGCCGGCGGGCGGTGACGAGGGCGCAGCTCCAGTTGGTCGGAGCCGCTTGCGCCTTCGTGTCGGTGAGGCACGGCGATCTCACAGGCGATCGCGAGCCGCAGGCGCTCGAGAGCGTCAGACGGCTGGTCAGGGTGAGCGCCAGTGCGTTCACTGGCGAAGACCTTCTGAGGACCGCGGGGGACATCAGGGCGGTGCTCGAGCACGACCTGGATCAGCCCACGGTCTATACGCCTGCCTGCGGCAAGCAAGATACGCCACCGCGCCAGCGTAGTAGCAATACGTATTAAGGTTCGTGACGATTGCCGGTTTCTCCCGACAGACTCGGCAGATCCATCTTGGAGCCGTTCGGGAACCATTGTTACGATGCTGTAACGTAGCGCGGCCGCAAATAAGCACTATTTCTGCGTTGCCTCTTCGAGACTTCTTGGGAGCTTCTTTCAGGACTACTGGGGTTTTCTCCGGGGCCTCGCCCGTTTGGGGATTGGGGGCCGTATTCGGCACGATGGTGATACTTTCCGAGCTCTCCCGAAGAGGCTTCGGTGAACCAGCTTTGGCCCCCCAATGCGGACCATGCAGCACGGAGACAGCTAAGCAAAGGCATACGCCGGGAGCTACGCCGACAGAAACGATCGGAGAGAAGAGAACGGATCGGCACGATCTTGGAGCAGTACAAAGGGCTCAAAGCAATCAGAAGTACGAAAACGAGGCAGAAGAGGAACTGATCACACGAATGAAAGATTCCAGCGGGGAGGACAAAATGTCGAGGACCCACATCGCCAACGTATTAGCCGATTTCTAAGAGCAGCTGTACAACTACGGACCCATGTCCGCCGCCACCGAAGTCGCACGACGAAGTGCCGCCTTTCTCAATGGCAGAGCTCACCAAGGCCTTGTCCGAGCTGAAGAACAAGAACGCGCCAGATACCAGAGGACTCAAAGCTGAGATGCTAAAACATGGTTCTGTGGATTCAGACACTCCACAATCCAATCAAACGCTGCACCACCGGCGGAATGGAAGAAGACGGTAATCAAAGTCACACCCAAATCGGGAGACCTACATCACGCAAACAACTACAAGCCGATCTGCACTGCACCATACCGCTCTTATGCAAGCGTTTCAGCCGACTCCTATACAATCGATTGCAGCCTTAGTAGACAAGCGGCAGAGCGATGACCAAGCAGGATTCCGACCGGGACGCTCTACGACTGATCATCTCCTTGTTTTCAACATCGTCGGGGAGAGAACCCGGGAGTGGAACCAATCACTATGGATAGCAGCGCTCGATATTCAAAAGGCGCTTGATTCCCATAGAACACAACAGCCTATGGTCGGCTTTGCTTGAGCAGGGGGGGACACAGGGTACGTCCACACACTACGACGCTTCTACCACGGTCAATCGGCTATAGTGCAGACAGACGTCTCGAGCCGCCCATTCAATTTACTACGAGGCACCAAACAGGGCGACCCACTCAGCTCGTTGCTGTTCAATTCGGTTTTCGAACCCATTTTGGCCCCGTTGGTCGCAAAATGGTGGGACCAACAACTCGGGGCGCAGCTGGGGCACACCCGGACGTCCAACAGGACAAACTTTCGTTTTGCAGACGATGTGCCGTTGACAAAGCAATCGCTACCAGGGCTTGCGGAGATGTTGGGCGATATTATTGGGGCTGCCAAACAGCAAGGTTTTTTGTTACACCCGGAGAAAATAAAGATTATGCCGAATCTCACCCGACGGGTTGGGAGATGCAAAGGTCCAAACGTGGACGTCGGCGGCATAAAAATTGAGATTATACCATTCGCTGGGGCGGCTTTAGCGAGCCAGCACAGACCGAGGTAAACCACCGCATCGAGGCAGCGTGGGCCACTTTCACAGCTATCCGGCAGGAGCTAACAAGCAAACATCACCCATTCAAACACCGACTCAGGTTTTTCCAAAGCACAGTCACCCCCACGGTGCTGTATGATTCAGCCTCGCGGACATTCACACAGCCTCTTAAGCAACAGCTCCGCAAGACTGAAAAGAGAATGCTTCGCATGATCGTGAACACACCGTGGCGGCGGTTACGACGAGATCGACGCATTTCTGGCGCCGGCGCCTCTCTTCTCGAAGCTCCGACGACGATTCACTTACAATCGAATCCAAGCACGGCCGCTGCACATCAATCGAGCACAACCGACGACTACGACATCGACAGCAATCCACCACCACCCGGATCTTCACCAGCAAGCGACGTTGACAGCGACAACGACGCGGACAGAGAGGAGCTTTGGGTCGATTTCATTCGACGGTCGACACATCGTGCTGAATATATCATGTGGTTGCACAGCGTCAAGGATTGGGTGACAGAGCCACGCCGTTTACACTGGAGGCTCGCGGCGCAAGGGGCAGTACACCCCGTCACAAAATGGACGCAAAAGCGGCACAGTGGCACCCCATCCACACGGCAAAGAAAGCAGTTTATCGCAACCGCGGTGGCCGACATAAACGGTGGGATGGCGAAATCCAGACGTTTTTGGGCGAGTATGTGTGTGACGACACCATTCCGGCTCATCAACAGAGAGGACATGGCGATATGAATGGTACCAGTCGGTTCAACATTGCGAAGCAAAGTGGAACATGGCAGAGCATGGAGATCCAATACGTGAATGCGAAGTGAGAGCGCGTGCACATGGTTTTACATCTTCTTCATAGGGGGTACGGCCCGACTCATCCCGCCCTAATGGGCGCGGCCCTACGACAAGTGGGGCCGGATGGTCGCTCGCTCGCTCGCTCGCCCCCGAAGGGTTCTTTGGGCCATCTTGACGCCCTCTTGTGGCGGGATAGGGCCGTTTGGGTGGCGTCTCGGGGATATTTGGAGTTCCCCCAAGGCAATATTAAATCGATAAGCTGCGGACGCAACAAGCATCGAACATCGCCATATTGCATTGTTTTTTTTCCTCGGCTCTCAATGGAGGTCTCTTTGAGCGCATCTTTGGTGCGTGAAGGGGGCCCTCGTGGGGTTTACTGAAGACACATCGGGACACACAGGGGCTCGTTCTCACCACCCACCAAACCACCCCAACCCAACCCGAAGGCCTCAATTAGCCCTCCATTTCCAGTTGGGGGGGGTCGGGGAACATTGAAAAAAACACACATGGAACCCGTCCCCCCCCAACCCGAAATTCGAGTCTTCGGGTTGGGTTGGGGTTGTCTGGTAGGTAGTCACGTTCGGCCGTCCTGAGCTGTTTTGGGAGAACATTGCAGCTGTCTTGGGGCGGCTTCGGGGCGTCTTGGGACCACCTCGGGGCCGAGAGAGGGCACCGGAGAGTAAACCTTGCAAGGCGAGGCGTTCTTCCACCAGGTTGTGCTGAGGGGAGGGCGCCGCTCGAAGACTGCAGACCCCACCAGGCATCCAACAGGCATATTCACGTGCCCAAGCGTGCCGATGCCACGGTGGCGGACATGCTCCTAACGCGGTATTTTGTCTGCACCGGCTGGCAGATGCGGGGGCTGCTGCTGTCGGAATATCTCCTCCTCCTCGCGGCGCTCAGCTACCCGGTGCTGTGCTACCCGCCCCAGGTGGTGGTCACAGCGGTGGTGGCGCTCACGCACAGCACGCTCGGAGAGGCCTCGGGCGCCGTCGCCGGTTGGCAGCAGCGGCTGCTGCGCTGCGCGCGTGTGGCGCGGGAGGAGGTCGCGCCCTGTTTGGAGGCGGTGGCGTGGCTGCACGCCTGCGCACGCGAGGTCGCTAGGCGGGGCACGTAGCATCCACATGCACGGCCTCGCAGAGTCCAGACTCGTCGGCCGCGGCCCCACGCATGCCGGGCGGCCTTGCGAGGATGCCACGCGCAGGCCGCATTCATTCTAGGCTTCCTAGATGGGGTCCGAGTAGATGGGGTCCAAGGATCGCTCCGCATCGCCGATGCATCGGCGATGCGGCTCGATGTGGAGCCCGAGTTGCCCCACGCCGTCGTCGCCGATGCATCGCCGACGTCGCCGACGCATCGTCGGTGCATCGCCGATTCATCGGCGATACAGCGGCAATCCAGTGCACTTCTCCGACCCCATCTATTCGGACCCCATCTAGGAGGCTTTTATTCATGGGATCGCGTACAGCGGGCACACGAGATACGAGGTCGGGCTGCCAGAAGGTGCCCGCGGAAAGTTTTTGTTACCCCCGATGGCCCCAGGGACCCGCAAGAGCTCGGAGGCACCTCCGGCCCTTCCCGGAATGACGAAGAGTGTGCCCCAAGACTTCTTGTACAGTGGAGGCCAGTTCACAAGAGGCCTTCCACGAGAAACCCCACCCTTAGACCCCAGGACGCCCATTCATTGTTGGTGTGGGAGCGTCACGCTTCCCATCGCAAAACCATCGAACCCAGGAAACCCAGGGCACTCCAGAGGCAAGCAGGGTGTTTCTTGGCATGGGTCTCCACTGTACCGATCCTGCTTAGCATGCACACGTCGGTCGCGACCGCTTCGGAGTGCCGATCGGCCGCTGCCAATCGCGGCCGGGCATCTCTGGCGTCTGGTGTATCCGTGTGAGGGCGCCTCGGTGTCTGGACCGCGAGGGCACGGATGTGTTGGTGCGTGCGCCGCCCGTGGTGGCAGGGGAGTCCGGCGCTCGAGGGCCACGGGAAGGTCTTGGCGGCCTTCCGGAAGTTCTCGAGGCCCAGTCTGCAGGAGCCGGGCGCTGCGTGGGGGGAAGGGGGATCGATGATTTTTTGTTCGTCAGCGGCGAGGCAGAGGAGCTGCTCCAGCGGGTGGCGATTCGGGGCGACCGGGAGGCGACTTGGCAGGCGTGCCAGAGGGGGGAAGAGGGACTCGGGCGGCCGCGCGGAGGTCCGGAGGAGGGGTCGATAATACAGACACGTAGGGGGGGGGGGGGAGGAAGGCGCACCTCTCGCGCACACTCGCGGCCCTGAGGGGCTCCGCTGCGGCCCCAGAAGGTGCACAAGAGGAGCACGTCTGTTCGCCCCCCCCCCCCCCCCCCGTTTCATCGTCCCTCAGAAGCCGGCGTCGCGCCCAGAGGGGAAGCGAGAGGGGGCGGGCCTTCTCAGAAGGCGGCGGGGCTTCTCAGAAGTCCTCCGGCCTCTTGAGAAGGGTTCTGCGTCTTCGGAGACTGGTTTTTGAATTCAGAAAACTGGGTTTTGAATTCAAGAATAATTGTTTTCAAAATTTAAAGAAATTATTATAAAATTCAAAAATGTGTTTTCGGACAAGGCCTGTGGAGGCTTATCAGAAGGCCCGCGGCCTTCTGGGAGGGTCTGCCCCGTCCTCGATCAATGAGGAGGGAAAGAAACATACAGATACAATGAATCGTCGATTCCCAGGAAAACATGCGAACATATGGGAGTGGGGGGGCAGACGAAAATCCAGAAAATATGGGAAAATATTGGGAATCCTGGCATTTGTGTGTATTTATTTGTTTGTTTGAGGGCCCCTTCAATCAAGTTGAGACATTCAAGCCGGACGAGGAAGTCACCAAGTATTTTGCCAGTACCGGGCTGACGTTGGGTGCCCTGCGGGACTCCTCCGAGCCGAACTAGCTACTGAGCATGTGCAAGGCAACGGGGTCGTTTTCACCGACGCTGGCGGTAAGCTTCCCGCGTAAGGTTCGCGCGGAGGAGCGCCCCGGTCTCCAGCGTGGCCTGCCGCGCCGGCGGCCTGCGCGCAGGCCGCGGCGTGAGGTCGCTGCGCCAACTCGCGTCGCTCATGTACAGTCGGGGCCCTGAAGAAAGAACCTTTTTCGTTGGAGAGGGGCTCCGCGTTCCTTAAGTGTTTCGCAGCTTGCCTTGGATTTTCCTCATGTTTTCGATACGAAATCGAAGTTCAACTTGTGGAAAAAAAGGGGCCTCGTTCCTTATTTAGGGTTCCTTAGGTCAAGGCCCCGACTGTACCAGAAAGTACGGTAGGTCCATGCGGCTACGCCGCGCTGGCGACGCCGGCGAGGGCTCTCAAGGTTGAGATTTCTGGGACGCGGAGGCACCGAGGGGCACGGCACGGTGGCGCCAATGGACCCGACGAAATCCAAGCTAAAACGATCGGGACCGCGATCGATCCGAGGTTGAACGATGATCGCGGGGTCAAAAACCTTGGCGCGCGCCGACGCCGCACGAACCTATCGCACGATGTTCCCCCCCAGGCGCGCCGCCAAGTCCGCCAAGTGAGCGACGCAAAAAAACGGGGTCGTCTTCGCCGACGTTGGCGCGAAAGCTCCCCGCGTACGCTAGCGCGTATGCGCCCTCGTCTCCAATGTGGCCTGCGGCGCTGGCTTCCCGCGCAAGCCACGACGTGAGGCCGCGATGTCGTCTCGCGTAAGGTCCGATTTCTTTTCGTCGCCCGCAGCGAAGCCGCGCCCCGAGGAGGTCGCGGGGCTGCAGCTGGCCCCGCCGAGCTCCGCACTGCTCCCGCTGGCGCGCTGAGAGCGAGGCGCCTCCCCCCCCCCCCTGGCAGTGCCCAGCGGCGCGCGGGCCGCCCCCCGCGCGGGGTTCTGCTGCGGCCGGACGCTCCTCGGCCGCGCGCAGAGCCAGGCCTCCTGGAGGGGGTCGTGGGATCGGGCCGGACGAAAGGGGGGGGGGATTGGGAGGAAAGGGGGGGATTGGGAAAGGGGGATCGAGCTGATTCTCAAACCCCCCCTTTGCTATCCCCCCCTTTCGCCCGGCCCGAGAGGGGAGGGGGTCGGGGGATCGCCGGGGTTCTGTTGCGGCCGGACGCTTCTCGGCCACGCGCAGATCCAGGCCTCCTGGAGGGGGTCGGAGGAGGGGGTCGGGGGCGGACAGAACCCCCAACAGCGACACGTCGATCAGTGAATTGTCCGTTGTCGGCTCTCGAGAGGGCGCCGCGGCCGTGATTTTCCAGGCTTGCGCCCGCCAGGTTTGGGCCTCAGGTTGTTTTCACTAAACTACGTTTTACTAAAGGGAGGTCTGTCCATCCCCGAGAGGGGGTCGGGGGATCGCGGCGCATCGCCGATGCATCGGTGATGCAGCGCGATGCGGAGTCCTACAGTCTCCGTGCCGACATCGACGATGCATCGCCGACGTCGCCGAGGCATCGCCGATGCACTCCGCCGCCGAACGAGGCGGCACCGGTCGCATATTGGGGAGGGCACCTTCCCCGATCCATGGACTTGGCGACCGCGCGCCAGATCCACGGATCGCTAATCCGTGTTTGCGCGCCCCCGACCTCCTGCGTGTGGCCGACATCGGTGCCGGCCACGGCCCCTCTGCGGGGCGCGAATTCGCCCGCGCGAGCCCCTGAATTCAGACCCTCGCGGTGTGGGGCGCACCGCCGTCGTGGTGGCCGGGACGGCGTTTCCGGTTCGGTGGCAAATCATGGGAGCTTGGTATACCCTCGTAATTCCGTCTCTAGCGTCGGTTAGCTTCGGTTAGCGTCTGGGAGTCGATGAGATAGATAGCGCCGATTTAGCGTCGGCTAGCTTCGAGTCGTAGCGTCCATGTAGCGTCCATCAGCCTTGATATCTAGCGTCGACGAGCGCCCATTGGCAAGAGCGGGCCAGATGGTACATGGGAGGCCCCCTGGCCCAAGGTGCCCCCAGCCTTTCGCTCCATTCTGGAGCCCCTAAAGCCCTCTGGGCCTCGTGAGGGGTGCTTTGGAAGCCGTTTGGGCTACCCCGAGAGACCTGGGGGCACCTTGGCCCAGGGGCACCTCTAGCAACACCCGACAGCCACGAGCTGCCGCCGAATCTCCGGGCGGCGAGGCTGCCGATGCCGCTGCCCGTGCGTCGTCGCCGCGGTCGGGCTCGCCTCGGGCGCCGCCGGCGGCCGAGGCCCGCGCCCTGCCCGGCGAGGGGCCCGCGGGCGGTGGGCGCCCCGCGATCGTGCCGCGGGCCCCCCCCCCCCGCGCGGCAGGCTCCCGTCGCGGAGCTGCCGCCGTCGGGCCGCCACCTCGACTTCTCTCCCGAGGTCTCACAGCGGGGGCGCGCAGCTCAAGAAGCCACACACGCCGGTCGTTGAGAGCAGGTATTTCTTTGGATTCCCTGAGATCCCAATCTGCTTCCAGCGCCTTCCGACTTCCAGAATCGGCATGCTTTTGCTGTGTTGTTTTATTATTCTCTGGGAGGGCCTGGGCCCAATCTGCTGTATCCGCCTTCCTGCTGCATGGCTTGACCTACTGCTTCCGACCGACGTGTATGCTTTTCGTCAGGGCATCCTGGGTTTCTTCGCTCCTCACGCTGCGCGGTGACTTCCCGCAGCCGTTGAAGGAGCTGATGCGTCCAGGGTGCTCCAGGTTTCTCCTCAGGTGCACATCGCGCACGGGTTCTCAGGGTTGGGTTTCTTGCGAGGGTTTCTTGCGGCCGCGACCGCACTGTATGACGCCACATGTTCTCTCGTTGCAACGGGGCGTTTTCGCCCAGTTTCGGGACCTGGGACCCTCACGGATCGATGTCCGGGTCAAGACGTGCAGCAGGCAGATATATTGTTTGGGCTCTGGTCGCGGTTTCCCGCGGTGGTGCGTTCTTGTTTGCGTCGTCGGGTCTCGGAGTCCTCGCTGGGCGTGACGAGCCGCAGTCAAGCAGTGCGCTGTGCGACGGCTTGCATGCGGGACGCCTGTGCGATACGTGACAAGCGTGCGCACACAAAAAGCAAGTGACGGCCGCCTCCGGCGCCAGGGCTCGAGAGCATCCAGATAGTGATGGGGATGACTCACTCGACGACTAGTGCAGTGAGATATGGTTGATGGTGGATTGATTTGCAGTGGTGTCCAGGGCGTCGTCTGACAATTCGAGTGACACACCTTGTGGCCGTGCGAGCAGCTAGTGGCATGGGGAATGAGCTCGCCATGAATCACAGCATGTTCCAGCGTTGTAGCAACAAGTGCGCGTGTTCGGCACAGGGGCTCCCGCAGATGAAGAGCCTGACATTCACACCGAACGGTTTCCGAGTCGTCCAATCGGCATCATGTGGTTTCTGCAGCTTGCATCTATTCAAGGGCGCTTACTGGGTGTTGCTGGCAGGGCGCGGAGTCATGGCCAGCACTCTGTGCTCATGCGCTCACCCAGATTGGCGTCCCGCGTCGCGTCCTCACTGCCTCGCTCGGCGACAGCAGCTGGACACTGCGGTCAGAACCAGCAGTACGAAAGGTGCAGTAGTGCGACCAAGCGATTGATAAATTCGAGGGGGTGGTTCACAGCGCCCCACTGGGAAATGGACGATTGAACAGATATATTGTCCCCGCAGTTGCGGATAAGAGTGAGGGGGCGGGCGCGGGGTGAGTCGCAGGTGGGTCGCGGGCGAGTCGCGGGTGGGTCGTGGGGTGGGTCGCGGATGAGTTGTGGGTGGGTCGCGAGTGGGTCGCAGGTGGGTCGCGGGCTGGTCGCGCAGTGGTTCGCGGGTGGGTCGCGAGCGGGTCGCAGGGTTGGTCGCGGGTGAGTCGTCGGTGGGTCGTAGGAAGAGTCGCGGGTGAATCGCGTGCCGAGTCGCGGGCGTTACGACGACAACAAACAACAAGTAACAGCAACAATCCGCACCGCGGGAGCTTTTTTCTGCCACGCACGGAGGACACTGATTGACCGTTCAGCCCTTCATTCTGATTCCTGGTCCGTCGTCGTCGTCGTCGTCGTCGCCTTGGGGTCCGCCAGGCTGCAGCCAGCAACCCAGATGAGTTTGCCCGACGTGTTCCCAACTGTCCTGTGGTGTTGGGTCCTCGTTTTGGAGAGACAGAGGGGTGCATCTGTGCTGCTAGAGTTGTTGACCAGCACCCCCAAGCGTCTATTCCGATTCCGATTCGTCACATTCTTTCCTTCTGCTCTTCGAACGCGTCTACGAGTCCAGTACACCCCTCACACGTTTCGTGTCCCCACAGGGCGCTCCTCCATGCGTACGCACGACCGATTTCGGCAAATACGCACACACCACACGCGTCGTGGCCCCGTAGGGAGCTCCATCGAAGGCCCCACTGGTCCACGTGCGTCCGCCCGACCCATGTCGGCACGCCCTTCACGCGCTTCGTAGCCCGATAAGGAGGTCCACCGAAGGCCCCAGTAGCATAGCCCACGTGCGCCCACAAGTTGAATTTCGGCACACCACTCACACATTTCGTGGCCCCATGGGGAGCTCCACTGGAGGTCCCAGTGGCAGGGTCCACATGCGCTCGCCCGGATCATTTCGGCTCACCCCTCACACGTTCCGTGGCCCCGCAGGGACCTCCACCGAAGGCCCCAGTGCCATGGTCCACATGCGTCCGCCCGACCCATTTCGGCACACCCCTCACAAAGTTTCGTGGCCTCCACGGAAGGCCCCAGAGACAGGATCCACATGCGTCCGCACTCGACCGCCACCAGCACGACCACCACCAGCACGACCACGGGCCAAGCCACCACGACCACCACCACGGCGCCCGTCCATTGGCCCACCCTGCCAGACCTCCAGAGCGACCACCACGCTCTGCAGCATGACCACCACGTCCACTGCCCGGCCACCGCGACCCCGACGTCGACCACCACGCCCGCCCGCGCGATTACCCCGACCGACCCCGCCCTCCGCCCCCCGCTCCGCTTTCCTTCTCCCGTCCGTGCCCCTAGCCGCCGCCCCTGCTTGCATTCCTCCGTGCTAAATGTAACTCAGAGGCGGAGTGCCACGGGGCAAGCCCTCCCAAGATGCTGCGTCCGGCAGGTGTCGCTCCTCGTGGCTAGGGACCCGGGGCCAGAAAGGCAAAGCCCGGGGGTCCCCCATTGAGGGACGTGGACCCATTCGGGTGCCCCCGGGCTTTCTGGGGGATGGAGGAGGGAGGAGGGAGGAGGGGGACACCTCCTGCCCCCCGCATCCTCCCCTCGAGTGCCCAGGACGCCGCCCACGCGCACACCTCCCGACTGGAAGGCCGGGCGCCGCGTCACCGTGCTCTGTCGGGAGCCTTGAGACGGGGGTCAGTTCACACGGGGATTGGCCAAAGCGCCAGATCCTGCAGGATACTGCAGGGTGAGGGGCGCACTGACCCAGGTCAGGGCGCAGGCTCCTGCAGCATCCTGCAGGCCCCTGCAGGCTCATGCAGGATCCTGGAAGCCGATGTCATCCTCGTCCTGGCTTCGTCTTGCAGGGCAGTGGGAGTCCATGTCTCGAACAAAAGTCAAGGCCGAGGTTCTTCATCGTCCCCGTCGTCTCTGGGAGAGCCTCTGGGCCCCGTGGGGGGGGCCGTCGAGAGGAGCAGCGGTCCCTGGGCGAGAGGCCAGTTCACGGGCGCGGGTCGTCGAGAGGTCTGGGGGGGCGGGGGTGGAGGGTTTCTCCGAAGGGCTTAGGCGACCTCCTCCTCCTCCTCCACCTCCTCCTCCTCCTCCTCCTCCTCCTCCTCCCTCCTCCCCTCCTCCTCCTCCTCCTCCTCCTCCTCCTCCTCCTCCTCCTCCTGCTCCTGCTCCTGCTCCTGCTCCGCCTCCTCCTCCTCCTCCTCCTCCTCCCTCCTCCCTCCTCCCTCCTCCCTCCTCCCTCCTCCCTCCCTCCCTCCTCCCTCCTCCTCTCCTCTCTCCTTCCTCCCTCCCTCCTCCCTCCTCCTCCCTCCTCCCTCCTCCCTCCTCCTCCTCCTCCTCCCCCTCCTCCTCCTCCTCCTCCTCCTCCTCCTCCTCCTCCTCCCCCCTCCATCTCCTCCTCCATCTCCTCCTCCATATCATCCTCCATCTCCTCCTCCCTCCTCCTCCTCCTCCTCCTCCTCCTCCTCCTCCTCCTCCTCTCCTCCTCCTCCTCCTCCTCCTCCTCCTCCTCCTCCTCCTCCTCCTCCTCCTCCTCCGCCTCCTCCTCCTCCTCCTCCTCCTCCTCCTCCTGGGGTCGCCTACGGCCCAGGGGGAAACCGTGCAGACGGGGGGGGGGGGCGTATCGAAGAGGCCAGGGCTCGGATGAGGAAAAGGTGCCCGCTTCGCTACCCTTCGCTCGTTAACCCTTTTGGGGCCTCCTCGGAGGCCCTCGTCGCAACAGCTGGATTCGCCTCGACAGTATGGTCAGACCGTACCCGGGGAGAGGTCTGGGGAGTAGCAGCATTGGTTTCCCCAAGGGCGGGCTCCCTCACAGAAGTCGCACCGTTGCGTTGCGTCTTCGGGTGGGGCCGGTCCTGGCCTGCAGCTTGTGTGGCATCTTCTTGCCTACGACGACGCGGGCTCGACACCGGCTCGGCCGTAGGTAGGGAAGGATTCGATGTGGGTTCGGCGCGGGTTCGATGCGGAGGACAGGCAGGGTCCCCTGAAGATGGAGCAGGAGCCACCAAGGGCAGGGGTCTTGGTCTTCGGGCTCCCATGGGGCTCTTGCCGGCCCCCAGGACTTTCGGGAAACGGTTCGGGATGAAACGCAGCCTCGGAAGGGGGCAAAGCCTCGGGGGGCACAAGGATGACACACCGCTCGCAGGCGATCTGCTTCCCCCAATCCCCGAGCTCCAACCGAAAAGTGTGGCCGCTCAGAAGAGGGGGGGGGGGAACTCAGGGATGCTCCAGGGGGGGGGGTATTCGGACGCACACACCCCATCGAGGATGGACGCCCCCCCCCCTATCGTGTGTCCCAGGGCTGGTGCCGCCCAGCACGTCTGGCCCGGTCGAGAACCCTCCATGGTCGGGGATGGGGGCCGCCGCTGCTGGGGCGAGGGTCCACCGGCCTCGCGGCTGCGCCGACCGCCGAGGTCTTGTCGGCTGCTCCCCGGCGCCGCCCCGCGCCACCCCTGGTGCTGCGGACCCTCCTCCTCCCTCCTCCTCCTCCTCCTCCTCCTCCTCCTCCTCCTCCTCCTCCTCCTCCTCCTCCTCCTCCTCCTCCTCCTCCTCCTCCTCCTCCTCCTCTCCTCCTCCTCCTCCTCCCTCCTCCTCCTCCTCCTCCTCCTCCTCCTCTCCTCCTCCTCCTCCTCCTCCCTCCTCCTCCTCCTCCTCCTCCTCCTCCTCTCCTCCTCCTCCTCCTCCCTCCTCCTCCTCCTCCTCCTCCTCCTTCCTCCTCCTCCGCCTTAATTCTGGACGCCCGACATGGGTACGGAAAGAACGGGCACAATTAATGCCCAACAGCCGTTCTTGCTCGTTTTGCACAGGACTCGCTGTCGGTGTCGCCGCGGCCTGTGTACATCTGAACATCTGAGGCAGAGGGCCGCCCGCCCGACAGCGGCCGCTGCTGGTCTGGGACAACATCTGTTGCTGGGCATTGTGCCCATTTTTTCCGTACCCATTTCGGACGTCCCAATCCCCAGCGCCGCCCCGTGCCACCCCTGGTGCTACGGACCATCCTCCTCCTCCTCCTCCTCCTCCTCCTCCTCCTCCTCCTCCTCCTCCTCCTCCTCCTCCTCCTCCTCCTCCTCCTCCTCCTTAATCGCGGCGCACCGCGGCTGCTCAGAGGGAGGGCGGGCTCCTCCAGGGGGGGGGGGCGCGGCGCTCGGCGTGTCCGGCGAGCCGGCCGCTCCAGGGCCCCGCGGCCCCTGCCGCCTCGAACTCGGCCGTGGCGTGCGTGCCGCCGCCGCCGCCGCCGACGACGACGACGACGAGGCCGCCGAGGCCGCCGAGGCCGCCGAGGGCGATGGCCAGCCCAGGACGAGCCTGGCCGGGGTCTGGCCCCATCCACGCTCGGTCGCGACAGAGCGGAGCACGCCCCGGCCCCCAAGCGTTCCGTCGTCGTCCTCCTCCCCTCCTCCTCCTCCTCCTCCCCCCTTCCTCCTCCTGATACAGGGCTTCTCCCCGTCGCACCCCGAGGCCAGTTTTTAGGGTGGGCCGGGCGTTTCGCCTGAGACTTCCTCACCATGTATTACACTGAAGCTTCAAAGTTGGCAACAGTTTCTGAGATGGGTGGCGGGCCGTTTTCAAATTGTGGCTCTCGCCTTAGCGCCGCGCGCATTCGAGTTAAAGAATTACAAGAGTTTCACGGGTTGAGGGCCACCCGCTTGCAAAATGTGGTTCTTGCCATAGCGCCGCGCACATTCATTGCAAAGCATTGCAAAAGTTTCAAGTATTGAAGGCGGTTCTTGTCAAACTGTGGCTCTTGCCTCAGCGCCGTGCACATTCCGTTTACAAGTGTACAAGAGGTTAACGGATTGAGGGCCGCCCGTTTTCAAAATGTGGTATTCGCCTTAGCGCCGCTCACACTCGTTCTAAACATTTGCAAGAGCTTCACGGATTGAGGGCGGTTCTGTTTCAAAATGTGGTTATCACAATTCTGTTCGAAAAAATTGTAAGAGTTTCACGGATTCCCTTGACCAGCGTACCAACAATTTCGTTCTGTAGGGACTCAGGATTCTGAGGGTGCAACAGGTTCGTTGATTGGCGGTGCTGCAGTCCCAGAAGTTGCGTTCTGGCACGATTCAGGATCGTCACGACGCAAGAGTCAGGCTGATCACTGGCGTTGGAATATCGAGAGCAACGTTTTGGCATGTTCCCGGGTCGTTAAACGGTTGTCTTCCAACGAGGCAGTCCCCTCAGTGGACAGTGAACCCTTGTAGGGGCACTCGGAGGAGGGAGCTCGGAGGGAGGGGTTATTCCAACATCGCTGGTGACTCTTGAGTTTACACTGGTCCCCCTCCTCCTCCTCCTCCTCCTCCTCCTCCTCCTCCTCCTCCTCCTCCTCCTCCTCCTCCTCCTCCTCCTCCCCCTCCTCCCCCTCCCCCTTCTCCCCCTCCCCCATCCTTCTCCGAGCTTGTCCCAGCCTCCAGTCCCACGGAGCAGAGCGGCACGCCATCAGCTTGCGAGGCACAGCGTGTCCCGGGAGCCGCCGCCGCGCCACGCCGGGCAGAGAGGTTCCTCGCCCTGCCAGCCGACGGCGAGTGCGCGTCGAGTGTGCCGGCTGTGCACGCTGACATTCGGTGAGGGTTCTTGCGAGGATCGAGGACCAGGCTGCAATAATGGTGGTTCGGTGTTTGAGGGCCGAGGCTCGAGGTTCAAGGGCCGAGGCTCGATGCTCGATCGAGGTTCGAGGATCAAGGTGCCGTGATCGAGGTCCGAGGAACCAGGTTCGAGGTCTCGAGGTTCGAGGATCGTTGTTCGAGTACCGAGCTTCGATGACGGAGGTTCGAGCGTCGGGGTGCTAGGATCGAGGTCTGAGGGTCGAGGATCCAGAATTGGAGTGTCAGGATCGAGGTGTTGCGATCGAGGTTTGGAGATCGAGATTCGAGCGTCGAGGTTCAATGAGCGCTTGTTATTAGAATTTGTCGCTACATTTCCTGGCTTCCAGGAGGGCTTCCAGTGGCGTCCGCATGGGGACCAATGGAGGCCTCTGGGGACCTCCACATACCTCAAGAGGTTTCAACGTCCGAGTTGAATTCTGACGCCAGGGGATGTGGAGGAGACAACCTTCTCCAAATACTCCTCAAGAGGATGTTTGGCCCATGGCATAGCCTCCTTCCTCCTGTTGCTGCCAAGGCGTCGGCTGGGCTGGCAGCATCGGTGACATCGCCGCCTTCTCGTTCTTCCCAACCAAGGCCGTTGCTCCGCCTGAGTTTACTGCACCAGTTGGCTATTGCTCCCGTCCTGCTTATTCCACAGCCCAAGCCTGCAATCACAGACGAGCGCGCATGCAAATTACGCGGGGGGCGTCGAGGAGCGTGTAATTGGTGGTGGGGTACTCGGGCCCCCCACTGGAGCCTGCTCGATGTGTCTGCTTTTGTCTTTCTCTTGCGTCTGCATGCCAATCCCCTAACGCCTCTTGCTCCTGCATGCGCGTTTCAAGCATCGCTTCGCATGACCTGGCAGTCGTGTCCTAGCGGCGAGACGTGCCATTCTTGAACATGCCCCCGAGCTCGCAGCGCAGCAATCCTCATGCAAAGTCGGGCGCCCGGTAGCGGGGGGTCTAAGGTTGCAGGCAAGGTCGATGGGCCCGCGGCCCATCGACCTTGCCTCTGTGGGCCCATCTGGTGGTGGAAAGGTGCGCGTTGCTCCGCCCCCGTTAACTCCCCTGCCAGTACAGACGCCCGATCTTTATACGTACACAGACTGCGTGCCAGCGCATGCCACTGCTCTGTCCGAGCCCGAGGCGGGGGGGGGTTGGCGCCGCGCTCGCCGCAGTGGCACCGCCGCCGCCCGGGCTGTCCACGCCGTCGGGCTCCTGCACCGGCATCGGTTTGACGCAGGGACGGCACTGTGTACGTTGTACTCTTCGGGTGTTGATAGATACCCCGCCCTGCCAGGTGGATTAGCGGGTTGCCAGTTTTCGGCCCAGGAGAGGTTGTTGTGGCCGCATGGTTTGCGCGATGCTTCCCAGCAGCTGTGCCTCGGCCAGAGCGCTCCTGCTTCCCAACAGCTGCGCCTCGGCGAGAGCGTTCCCAGGAGGAGGAGGAGGAGGAGGAGGAGGAGGAGGAGGAGGAGGAGGAGAACGAGGAGGAAAACGAGGAGGAGAACGAGGAGAGAACGAGGAGGACGAGGAGGAGAAACGAGGAAACGAGGAGAACGAGGAGAACGAGAGAGGAGGGAGGAGGAGGAGGAAGAGGAGGAAGGGGAGGAGGAGGAGGAGGAGGAGGAGGAGGAGGAGGAGGAGGAGGGGGAGGATAGGAAGGAGACCCGAAACTTCTGGCCGGCTACACGTACTCCAGAGTGACACTTCGCCGAAGTGCCTTGTGCTGCGCGGCGTTCGGGGGGGCGCGCCGAACACAGGCACGCGGGCCGCTACTGCCGCATCCCACGCAATGATCGGCAAGGCGCGCACCATGGTCCACTCCTCCTCCTCCTCCTCCTCCTCCTACGCTCCTCCTCCTCCCCTCCTCTTCCTCCTCCTTGCCTCCTCCCTGTCCGCCTCCCTCCCCTCCTCCTACCTCCTCCTCCGCCTGTCCTCCTCCTCCTCCTCCTCCCCCTCCCTCCCTCCCTCCATCCCTCCTCCCTCCTCCCTCCCTCCCTCCTCCCTCCTCCCCTCCTCCCTCCTTCCCTCCTACCCCTCCCTCCCTCCCTCCGTCCCTCCTACTCCCTCCTCCCTCCTCCTCCTCCTTCCTCCCTCCCCACCCCCCCCCCCCCCCCCCGGGGGGGGGGGGGGGCACTCCTCCTCCTCGCCTCCCATCCCTCCTCCTCCTCCCTCGTCCTCCTCCCCCTCCGCCTCCTGCTCTTCCGAACATTCTCCTTCACCTCATCCTCCCTCCCCCCTCCTTCCCTCCCTCCTTCCCTCCTCCCTCCCTCCTCCCTCCTGATCCCTTCTCTCTCCCTCCTCCCTTCCTCCTCCTCTCACTCCTCCTGCTCCTGCTCGCCCTCCTGCTCCTGGTTCCCCTCCTCC